ACTTAATAACTTACTTTATAGGTTAGTTTCCTTTTTAAATATTTTGCTATAATATTTATAAAAAATATTTTAAGTATTAATTATTTTAACAAAATTTTAAACAATAATTTAGCACATAATTTTAGTACTAATTAAACTTGATAATTCAAAAGTATTTATATTAAATTTATATTTCATTAGATGAATCTACCTTAGATTGATATATTTAGATGAAATAAAGTAATGGAACATTGCAAAGTAACTCTTATGCGGACTTCAGATTCTTGAAAGGGCAGATTTAGTCTCTTTTCATTCTAAAAATAATGCTGATGAATTATGAGAAAATTGCTAAAACGACCACATCTAAAAGCGGTCATATCATGATGTTTCAGTGACATCGTCAAATTGCCAAGATGCAATGGCAAATAATTTGCGTCTTTGCAACGTTGTAAAGACGTCGTAGAAGTTACCACGACCACTTTGTAACCTCTCGGACCAGTTAGCAACGTCGTGTGCTACTTGGGTAATGAGAACTATTTCATACTAAGTATGCCTTAAATATAATTGTACTTACTGCAAAATAAAAAAAATCTTATGTGTACACCATATGACTTCCTTGCACGGAATATTAAATTATACGCTTTTTTTTTTTTTACATTTCATTTCAACATATTGGATGGAATTAAACCTACTCCGTCGATAGTGCATAAACCACAGTAGAATAAATGCACTCTTTAAAATTCACTACATTTGTTTACCATAGTGACACTCTGGCGCCAGGTTCACTTAACAGTGTTATATTTTGTTCATATTATAACTCATAATGCACAAAATTTACATCATTTCAAGAATTATCTAATCGTTGCTGCATGTTCTATTCAAATACTATAATAAATCTAGAATGATGTATAAAAGAAATTAAGCACACAAAACAAAAAAGAAACAGTTTTTTACAGATGATTTATTATTTCTCATTCAATTAATTCAGTTCTCACTTCGCGACAAGGCAAAAATACATAAAAACTCAAAATATCTATACTAAAAATTACAAAGTAAATATTAAACACTTACGTCCTCCAAAAAATTCCAGAAAGGATTAAGCAAGATTTAATTCACAATCATAAATGAGGGCATTATCTTTGTTGTTGCAAAGCTTAGTCTATCTAGAATGGCAACAAATGTACTATTCTGCTGTTTCAAATGTAAACAAATATGTCCACCATGTTATTTAAAAATTGGGCTTAACTGCACTTAAACAGCATTTACATTGCTGATAACTGTACAAATATTGCTTGCAGGTTTATTAAAGCATAAAAACCTTAACTGGAAGACAAAAACAACATAATTCAATCATTTTTAAAGCAAAAAAAAATGCACAATTTACAGACATATAAGAGTAAAAAAACTGAGATCACTGAGCCGAGTAACAGAGTAAATATATATATAAATATGTTTATATACGTTTGGTGTGGCCAATTGCTACCAAAATACGAGGTGCACATCTACATGCTATAGCAGTCCTACATACAACATTTCAACATTCTGAGGGCACTCGCTTTTGAGTTATGCGAGATACATACGTACAGATGCCACGAAAAATTCTCTTCAGAATTCATTTTAAAGCAGCTTTATAATTTTTTTGGAGGAAAAGAGTCTTTTATTCTGTACAGATGTCATGGAAAAACATAGTTAAATTGCATTCAACAGTGGTCAAAATGGATATTTTCGTTGAAATATGCTTCCTGAAACTTGCCGCGATTACAATACTTTCTTTTTACTTTGTACAAGGAAGTAAAAAAGATGGAAAAATCAAAACTCGAGTAATCGGCATGCTCAAATTTAAAAGTGGGGGTTTTATTTCCCCTAATAGAGTATGAAATCTAATCCCTGGGATATATGTGCCCACTAAGACTAAAATGGTTAATTATAGACACCCTGTACTTTATGATTCATCATACTAAAGAACCCTCTCTCATTTATCCACAATACAATGATGGTGTTCATGCATGATCAATGGCTTCCGAACTATAGTAATCATGAAAATTCAGAGCAATTACATAGTCACAAATAATATCATTTCTATCCTCCATTTAATGAAATCTTCAAACTGTAGTAATAAAGGAAAGGGAATAAATAGATCAATTCATATAACTCATCTGTCTTGATGTACAGTTTTGAGTTTCTGAAACCCAAAATTGTACATCATGATAAAAGATAGTCATAAGAAAATAACCATTAACCCCAATTAGAATGGATTTTTACCCGCTATGAGAATTTCCAAATACTCCAAAATGAATGATAATAAGACTGATTCCCACAGAACACAGATTCAAAATTCTTGATAATCACAAAACTCCTGAGAAAACCAAAAGTTCACAAATCCAGCAGTAGTGTCAAGTGAGTAATTTTTCTTTAACGCCAAATTTTAAGTAAGCTCACTCAAAAGAAGCAAAATTTCTAAGAAAAATTAATGAAGACAACCTCAAAGTTCTACCTCACACAGAAAATGACCGCCATATATTAACTACCTTTTTTCTTGAAAATGGTACTGAATATTATGTCATAAATTCAAAACAAAAGAGATCAATCAAAATAGTAATGAGAACTTCTTGTCATCATCAACAAAGCTAACATAAAACAAGCTCTCACGAATAGAGAGTTCAGAGTTTAAAAAAAAAAAATCACTGACAAAAAACTAAAGCTTCAATGCCATTATTCCCACTTTAACTAAAGCAGAAAGAAAAAACATGGAAAAAAATTTATGAATTTAAAGACCTCATGTGATTCTCCCTATTTGTCAAAAAATACACTATTAAAAATACTATCCTTCAGTGGCATAGTTGTCAGAATAGAAATCACACACCCAAAAGGCTCTTCTTTTCCAAAGACTATGTTCAGTAACTACCTATCAAATCACAACAGCACTGCATCATAGATGTCCTAAATTACCTAAAAAATACCAAAGAACAGCAGTTTAATTAAACCAGGCATGCATCAGCTATTCACAAGCACTTCAGTTGCAGACGCCTAGCCTAAACTCAAATAATAGTACACTCAAAGATGGTAACAAAACCGCTAACTACAAGGAATTCAAGAACATTATCAATAATAAAACTCAAATAATTGAATTTATGGAATTCTTCAATCATATCCATGAAATCAACAAAATTCTCATGGAAGTTAAACTTGAAATCATGAACTAGATCTTCAGAAAATCCCTCCCTAAACTCAGGAGTGTTGAGACCCACTAAATAAAATGCTCCCTCCCCCAAATTATATATAAAATTAATGATCATGCTCTATTACTAGTCAGTCTCCAAGCTTCATGATCACATGACCAGTTTAGCATGATTGTTTTCACGACCAGATGTACTAACTTCCCAATCTAGCACATTAATGTGGCTTACTCACTACATTAGAGCAGTACTTCTCACAATGAGAATTGCTTGGCTTTTTCTAAAGGCTATTGTCACAAAACTAAAAACCTTTTCTGAATTAAATCTTTTTCAGCATGTAAACTGGGGAAAAGGTATGGTCCAATCATGCATGCAGTTCCACACAAGATGGGACATTAGCTCAGGTGCCTGAATTTTGTGATGCATGTTCACCTAAGCCAATCAGAACGGGGTACTGAATGACAAGAATAATGTGTTTTATCCCAATCACTTATACTTTCTGTTACATTGTATTATCAGTTGGTATAATTTACCTTCATTAGTAGTGAGATCAATATGTGCTTCAGTTTAAAATAAACTGACAGATGAAGATCATATTTTGGGAAAGAAAAAATGCTTTCTGGAAACACTGCAGCCCATCCACATACAGAAAATTTAGATCTGTCATTTACTTAAATATTGTAGTAAATTATTGAGTCAAATTTTCTTCTTGAAGTCTCTTCTTTCATCATAATAGAACCTCCATTCTTCAGCACCCTAATATATATCTAATCAAGCATATTTGGGATACACAGGAATAGCAAATTCAAATTGCAGTAGTATAACCACAAGATCTAGCTGCAATACGTTGGTTCCAGATATTATTAGACACATTTAGAAATTATGTAATATCCATACCTCATGTAGTACAGAATTATTTTAGAACAGAGGATCAAAACCATATTAGCATTTCTGCAGTAAAAATCCTGCTCTGCTTATCTTAACTACCTCTATTATTTAACAATAAAAAATCTGTATGTATGTCCCTTCCATTGAGAGAAAACAATGACAGCAGCACTAAATTCTGAGCATGCAGTCTTCTACTTTAACATGTGTAGCTCAAAGCCTGAATTTTGATTTTTTTTCATTTACTTCATATTTTGCATGAATTTAATGAATTCTTGATTAATAAACTCAGTGATTCAAAAGCAGGCAGGCAATATTGTCTGATATAAAAAGCTTTTACCTCTGATGCACCAGACTGTTGTCATTTAGCAAAATGTAAGAATCTTACAATCTTAATCAACAAACTTGGCTATTTAAAATCAATGTGTTGCCACTGCTTGAAATAAAAGATTTTTATCTTTCATGTATCAATACGCTACCACTCAGTAAAGCATAAGGTATTTAATTTTCAAATTTAGATGACAGATGGATATCTGTCACTCATTAACAAACCAAAGAATTTAAAAGCAGGTAAGAATATTTTCTTCTACTTTTAATCTGATTCATTTAAATAAAATACATATCACAAGACATCTAATTGGAAATATTAAATGTTTTTATGAAATTACACTAACTGGGCTTGCTAAAATTATCATATCTCTCTTCCTTTTTGTGACTATTTTAAGCGGCTGACCATACAAGTGGTTTGTAATATAAAAGGTAAATATACTACTTAAATTTACATTCAGCAAAGATATATTAAGCAGATTTTCAGTATATTTCAACTCGTTAACATATAATTCTATAAAATATATTAACTGAAAAATTTTGCAACATAAATTAATATGAAGAATTGTTTAGAACATTAGTAACACTTTAAAAAATAGTTTTCATTCAAAAAATACTATTTTCATTCCTCACCTTTAAAAAGACAATTATCACTAACACTTCTATGGATACCAGTACCCTCAGAAGAATGTAACTTATGAGAATGATCTCCACTACCAGACCTTGTCCTCATGACTTGATGCCCAGCTGACCTTCCTTCTGCATTTGAAAACGAAATCAAGTATGAATCACCTTTAATATTCACAAAAGTAAAATTTAAGGCAAAAACAAAAATAAAAACATGAAGGAATAACTTTATTAGTTTGATCTAAATTTAATGTCCTTAAATAATAATGAAGCATCTATTTATTAAGAAATAGTTTAACAATAACAATGAAGAATTTTAAGAATATTAAACAGTTTTGAAAATGAAAACTTGCACACCCGTAAGCTGTGATGAGCTATCTTCATAAACACTTCCAGCAAGGAAACTGGACTTATCATTTACATGCTCACTTTGAGATTTGGTCTTATCAAATTTTTCATCTAAAGCTCCAATAATTGTCTTCCTGATTCCTCGGTTTTTCTTCATCTTTTGCTCACTTAATCTGTCTAATGGCAGGTCATTTAAATCTAGACAGTATACTTGTTTAGCTAAGACTCTTGTCAATGTTTCCATTGTTTTCTAATATAAAAAATAAAGAAAATAATTTACTAATTAAAACACAGTATTAAGTGAGCAAATTGTATACAAATATTATGATTAGAAAGACATATAAATTATTAGTTTAAATCAAAGGAAATCTGCAGTTACATATATTTAAAATGCTAACTAATCCCAATTACAACACTAGTTATGTTCTATAATTTAAAACAGAGAATTTTATTATACAGTGCAAAGTCCGTAATCCAGACATTCATTATCTGGAATGATCTATAATCTGGACCTCAAAGCCACAAACTTTACACATGCGCATAAAGAATGTGCATACATTAGGCATGCACGTAAAGAATACACATACATATGCATGTGCCCATTGAAAGAAATGTTTAATAACGTAAATAAATAAATTAAGCTTTTTTTTTTTTGTAAAATTTGATACTCTTTAGATCATAATTGCTCTTTATTTCAAAAATACGGTTTCATATTTTTAATTGTATAATTTCTGCATGCCATCTTACCATATTTAAATTGATGATCTATAATCCAGAAAAACCCCTAATCCAGAATCGCTAAAGTCCTGACAAGTCCGGATTACGGACTTTGTACTGTATATACCCAATCAACTTCACATGTCAGTTCTCCTGGGAAAAAGCAAGAAATTAATATGGTGTAATTCCACTTACAATAACAGCTCCTACTCTCTGAAGAGGAATATCTACTAATATTTGTATGATCAACTTGCCTTACCAATGTGTGATGGTGTGGTTTATTTCACATATGATATTTCAATTCATCTCAAAGGTGCTCTACAAAACTGAGATCAGAAGTCTGAGTAAGTTACATCCAGCCAGCAAACAAACACTCGTAGCATATGGCTCAATGTACAGCAGCATAATCAAGTAAAAATAGGAATGGACCCATAGCAAACTGCTGCCCTGATATGGCCAGCATGTTGTATAAACAAAGGAACATCAGCCAATTTATTTCACCTGTAGATAAAGCTAGTTAATCATACAAAAAGCAGCGTTCTATTTTATCTTAATAAAATATACTCACAAGAATAACAATAGTTTTATGATTAATATCAATGATTCACAGTAGGGTTCTTAAGCAGTTAAGATACTGAAATTCATTACTCCTCAACCTTTTGACATTGCGAAATTAAACAATTTTGTTTCTCCCAAATACATGCAACATCTGCCAGTCGTAAATTTGTAATGTGAACTGTGTTCATTTGCAGCCACTAAGCTAAGCTGTGTAACTGGAATGTGAGCTGAGCTCCTTGATGACCATCAAAAGATAAAAGAAAATGATTCAACATTAAACTAATTGACTGTAAAAATCTCATGGCATAGAACAGCTAAGGCCTGGTTAAAGTCATGCAACTCAAAAAGGGTGAAAAAAATAAATTTTGGCACTATGCAAGTGCAATGAAATCAACAGAAATATTTCCTTAATAAGTTATAAACTTTATAAATACATTGATAGCATTATTCTACAGCTCATGAACACTCCTGGACGGTTATTCTACGCTACGGGAGTAGACAGCAAGTTGTGGGCCGCCAGATGTAGCTGCTAGTAAAAAACAAGTCTGCCCGACATCCTATATTCTCTGAGTACAGAAGTTGTCGAAAGTGTGTGAAAAAGTGTTGCCGCGTCGTCAATCAGGGTTGTGCAGTTGACGTACTATGTAGACAATGGCTTTATATGTGTTTTCGCCGCTGATTTTTTCATATTTAAACAAAGAATACGGTCGAAGATCTCTCAATCGGTGGCGAATTTATAGAAAATATGTTGATGCTTTTGCTCTGCCAAAAGATGTTTTCATTGTATATTTCAGATTGCCAAAATTTATAGTTATTTTAATTTGCGATGAACTGAGAGAGTATTTGGAGCCCACATTCAGAAAACAAGAACGCAATTTCGCAATTTCTACTGAAAGAAAGGTTACACTATTCCTGAAATTAGAGATATAAATTGTAATTGTACACTTTAAAAATGTAGAAGATAATAAGTTTATCAAGCACATAAACCATCTTCATTTAATACAAATAAAGACATCCGATAAGCTTCTACTCGATTTATGTACAGCAAGAATTATGTTTACTTTAAAATCTAACAGTTGAATACCTTATGAATAATACTGTGGACACAAAAATGTCGTTCATTATTACGCGAAATTCACACTACTGTAAAATAAAAATTTTTAAAAAATAATAATAATGATAATAATTAAAAACTATAAAATAGCTTTATATATATATATATTTTTTCAGTAGCTGTACTACTACTAGTGTGATACTTTTAAAAATAAGTTTTAGCCCAGAAGGGCTATTAATTTCATTTTGCCATTTTGTGGCGTTTCACGATAAATGGCGTTTCACTTTTCAAATCGTTGCCACCATGTATTATCGCACTCTATTATATTTAAAAAAATTAAATAATGAGGAATCTGCAGAATGTATGAATGTTTCTCGCACTGTGACAAAACAACGGTACCTAGAGCCATGAAACTCTGAATAACGTAATCCTCCATCCTAATATAGGCATCTGGAGGCCCAAATTTGGAACTGGGAATTTGTATTATTAACCATTTCATATATCATACTTTGTAAAGCATTCATGAGTTTTTGATTAAGAAACCCAACGATTTCAAAGCGAGCAATGGCAACATTGTACGAAAAAAAACATTTTCATTTCTAGCGCGCGGTACTATGTATCGGAAATTCTAAAGATATGCTTTTTTTAAATTATATGATATTGCTGTTGAATTTAATTTTATGGTTTAAGTGCGAAAAACATGATATTTAATAAATAAAGGTAACACACAAAACATTAAAAAAATGGCCCTTTGGGAGTAATATAAAATCCAAAGGCTTTCAGATTTTTTTTTTTTTTCTTTTTGTGTGTGTGTGTGTGTGTGTGTGTGTAATTTTAATACATTTTAAAACTGGTTTCTAAGTGAGAACTTTCTAAGGGAAACTGGCTCGTATACACGTTACACATAGGAAAAGCCACGAAAACGACGGCCAGCTCATTCGCGGGATTCGAACCTCGGACCAAACTACCTGCGTTCAGCGACTCTACCGCTCAGCGGCTGGTGGGCTTGTTAGTAGAATTATACTGTATTATTATTGTATTATGCTATAAAGTAACAATGCTATAAGACTGATGGTTTGTTCATGGAATAGTACTTTTGTAACCTATTATAGTATTAAAAAATCATTGTTTCTTTGCAAACTTAAAATAATAATAATAATAATAATGTTCATATAGCATTCTCATTTTTATATTGTAAAAGAGATATTGATTATTATTAGTTTTCTATTTAAAATGTGGCGAAACGCTAGTTTGATAAGGGACTTCAACTGCAGGAGACCTACACTGATTATTTTTACTTTAGTTACTTCCATTATGAAAATATTGCTATACCTTTTAATTATTTTCACTAGAACAAAATATTTTGAGAGAAAGAAGAATATTTAAACTTGAGCAGTTCTTATATCCATACAAAATTAAAATAACAGCAATGTTAATATTGAAAAAAAGGTATTAGTAATTGTGTGACAAAAATTGCAAAACGAATTAATCACACATACAGGATAGATTAGTTAATTTTGGTTATATATTTTATATTGAAAAATATTTCTTTCATGTTAATATAGAAAATAAATTATTTAAAATAAAGCATTTTGATGCGTGTGTGATAATTGAATGCACCAGCAATTGGCCATACTGTGATAGCGAATGAATTTTATTTCTTTTCCTGAAGAATATTTTCATAGAAAAATAAATAAAAAAAGGGAAGAAATATTAAAGAAATATTTTCTTTCTAATTTCTTATTAAAGAAATTTTTCAATAGTAACTGTAAAAAATTGCAGTAAAACAGTTTAATGTAAGCATGGAAAAAAAAAAAAAAAAAAATCTGAAATGTTTCAGATTTTAAATTACGTCCAAAGGGGCATTTTTTAACATTTTGTGATGTTACCTTTCTTTATTAAATATCATGTTCCTCGCACTTAAACCATAAGATCCAGTGCAACAGCAATATCGCAAAATAGTTTTAAAACGAGCATATCTTTAGAATTTCCGATACAGAGACTCACGCGCTGGAGATAAAAATGTTTTTTCTGCACAACGTTGCCATTGCTCGCTTTGAAATCCTTGAGTTTGTTAATCAAAAATTCGTCAAAGTTTTAAAAAATAGGAAATCGATCATAAAACAAATTTCAAATTTCAAATTTGGTCTTCCACATGCTCATATTCGTTGGAGGATTACGTTATTCAAAATTCGATGACTCTATGTACCGTTGTTTTATCACAATACGAGAAATATACATACATTTATGCAGATTTTTCATTATTTAATTTCTTCAAATATAATGCAGGACTCTAACATTTTGTGGCAACAGTTTGAAAAGTGAACCGACATTTATGAGTCCGATGCAAAATGCCAAAACGAAACTAATAATCCTTCGGGATTCAAATCCCTTTGGACTTAAAAAAAAAAAAAAAAAAAAAAAAAAAAAAAAAAACTTAGTTTGCTATTAGATTGTAATGCAAATTAATCATATAATAAATTTAAATGATTCAAATTGTTTACTTCTAAAAGGATTTGAAGGAAGCTTAATTCATTTACTCTTATCTATTTACCACTGCTTTCGTGGTATCGCATATCACTCTTTATTTCTTAGCTCTAAATTCCTGCGTTTTAATTTCTTTCCCATTAAAATCCTAAATTTTCCATCCTAATTTAATCCATCCTAAATTTTCTTTCCCATTAAAAAATGGGATTTTCTTTCACATAACACAGCAGCATATTCTACCAAAGAATCTCTAGGGGATTCTCCCTATAGATTCTTTGATTATACTGCGTGTTGGTCATAATACTGTTTTGTGCAATTTTTTTTTCGAACTACAAATGCAGTGTGTGAGTTAGTGAAATAATGGGAGAATATTCCTAGAACTTCAGCCAGCGCGCGCTATAAATTTCGTCACTCGCCTGTACTGCGATTGGTCT